GAACATATGCAATTAAAGAACCTGTATCTCCAGACTTTCACATTGTGCAAGCTAGTCCAAGACCCAAGACAGCATTGACGTCTCCGTTTAGTGACTCCAAGAATATGTCAAGCTTCATTTCTACACAGGCAAAGATGGAACTGGCATCTTGGGGTTTGCCTGAAGCTGTCTTGGAGGTATGTTGCTGGATGATTAGATAGAGTCTGTTCTTCTGTATCTTTTATAAAAGATAAAAGTTTGTTCTTGTCGGAAAATGAATTGTATTCTTGTTGGAAAATGAAATGTATTCTTGTTGTTTACCTATTGGAAAAAAATGTGTATGGTATCATCATTAACACCTTGCTGTCTGTATATGCATATTTTTTTTCTTGCTGATATTTTTTTGTTTCTTAAGAAATAATTTATTACTGGATGGCTTTCAGCGTTATGTAAAGAATGGAATCCAGACAATGTTTCCATGGCAAGCAGAATGCTTAAGCTTACCAGAGGTACTAAATGGGAAAAACTTGGTGTACTCTGCTCCAACTTCAGCAGGTGAAGAATTAAGAAATTGTTAAATGTAATAAAGAACAGTAGATGGTTGTAAATAAAATGACAAGCTATGAATAAATTGATAATAGTATATAATGATAAGGTGTTAAAGAAAGAATGAACCTTAAGTGATGATGTTAAAGTTGTCAATGTCTTCAGTCACGCTTTTGGTAAAACAAGCTTGTATTGAGGACTCATATGGGGATTTTTTTCAGGCAAGACGTTAGTGGCAGAGCTCTTACTTCTTAAGCGGGTGATCGAGACTGGAAGGAAAGGAGTGTTCATTCTGCCCTTCGTCTCAGTATCTCGAGAGAAGATGTATTACTTGCAGGTTGGCTTTGGAAGTTGTATTTAGCAAATGATATGTTCCACATGGGATTAAATTATCCAATGATCCAAGTATAAACTCTAATTAGCTGTGGACTAAATGTATCTTTTCTTTAGTATCAGGAAATGATCCGGTTATTCAAAAGGAATAAGATTTGAGATAAAGTATATAAACTGATTTTAGGAAATTTTTTATAATAAATATATACATTTACCTTCCCCCCATGACCAGAAAATGTTTGGTGTGGTTGGTGTACGTGTTGAGGGGTTCATGGGCTCGCAGGGTCCTCCAGGGGGTCTACGTGCCACAGATATTGCTGTCTGCACAATTGAGAAGGCAAATAACCTAGTCAATCGGTAGGACCAACATGGGGCTGTTTGCTCACTGTATTTTACATTCTTCTTCTGCTAGTAGCTTTTAGTTCTACATTTTCCTACTTTACTTTAATAAGGGCTACACTGTCAAGGTAATTATATTAATGCAATTTTATGTAAGCCTTTTGACATTTATTAAAGCAGTACTTATCCTGCCCCTTTACAAATGTGTGGTTGAAACCTTTTTATTAGTTTTTGAGTTTCAAGAATTTACTTTATACTATAGGCAGTAAGAAATAACAAGCTGCTAGCACCTAGTTTTCTGAAGTACATGAGAACAAATGGCTAATAATTTTTTTCCCACCTTGGTTTACAGGGTCCTAGGCAAAAGCATAAAGAACTTAAAGGAAGTTACACAACACCTCCTTCTTTAAACAGGTTGCTAGAGGACCAGCGCATAAATGAACTGGGCATCATTGTGGTGGATGAACTACACATGCTGGCAGACTCCCACCGTGGCTACCTCTTGGAGCTACTCCTTACTAAGGTCATGTACGTCTCCAACAGTCTCAAGAATGGAAAACAGGTCAGTCAGAATTTTGACGAATGGGGAATTAGTGTGGGGACTTTTTTATTAATTCATATCTAAGGTAATTTTTTTATATGATTCAGTAAGTATGGGTGTGTAAGGGGAAAGGGCAAAAGGAAACTTATGTAACTATCTGTGAAACCAAAATCATCAGGGCACATTTGATATTGTTACATAATTTCAAGGTAATGCAAAATTATGTAGATCTAAGCTAACCTCAGAATTTGCTCCTAGGCCACTAATGGAGAATCGGGAATCCAGATCGTAGGCATGTCAGCAACTCTCCCCAACTTGGATCTCTTATCGCATTGGCTGAGTTCGCAGCTCTACAGCACTGATTTCCGGCCTATCCCACTACTGCAAACGGTGAAGATTGGCAAAGCAGTCTACGATTCCAGCATGACTAAAATTCGAGATTTAGATCCATTATTGACTGTTAAGGTGAGAAGTGTTAATTATTGCCTTTGATGTGGTTTTTGTCTTTGCTGATTCATTTTCATTTTAGGTTTGTATTTTTACTTATGTTTTTTTCATTTCAGTGTTTAAAAATACATCTGCATTTCCAAATCACTAATAGCTGTCTTCTTGACTTATCAGTGAGAATTTTGAAGAGAGTAATTTTTAGGCTATTATTTTCCATCTCATTATAACATCATTATCGTCTTTTTCTTAGGGAGATAGTGATCACCTCATACAGCTGTGCCTTGAAACGGTGCTAGACGGCCTCTCAGTCCTTGTGTTCTGCCCCACCAAGGCATGGTGTGAAAAGCTAGCTGAGGCAGTGGCAAGGGAGTTCTTCAACATAGGTATAAACAATTTGTATATTTTATGTGGCTTTTTACCTCTTTGGAGAATGTTCCTTTGCTTTTCCTGTCAGCTGAGGAAATCATTCAAGGAGTCATTCAAAAGTCATATCTGAACACTTTAATTTGCTGTAGATTTCAAGCTGTGAATCTGTAGTTGTTAAGAGAGAGCGAGGAGCTGTACATAAAGGAAACAACTTCAGGATGAATTTGGTGTAGCAACATGGCAGTGATTATGGTCATTGTCATTTTTCCTCTTTCTTGAAGCCAGATGCATTTAAACTAAGTAGAAACAACCAAATGCTTCCAGTTCCCCCAAAATGCTTGCTTCTCTGTTTCTGCTGCATGTTTTTTGTTTTCTTGAGATTTTTGAGACCCACAGTGGCATGCAGATCACCACACAAAGGTCAGTCAGAGGAGATACTTTAAATACTGTTGCCACTAGACTCTTAGGATGAAGAAACATATCTGTATTATGTATCCTTTTTATGGATGCCTTGCATAAATATAAAAGCCTATTATTTTCTTTCTTTTGATCTTTATAAGATAATTTCAACATATATCAGGGCCCTTTCCAAACCCTCATACAACATTGAATGAATATTTTACCCTTTTTCACTTTATAAAAATAGACTGGACAAAATGAAAGGATACTCATTATTTATTTATATACTATTTATATAGATACATTTATTCTTTCTCTTTCCCTTTCCCTTTATCCTCCTTTTTCTGTTTTTTTTTCTCTCTTCTCTTTTTCTCTTTTTATATTTCAACTTTCTTTTATTTAAGGAGTCAACTTCAGATAGCATATATGTCCACAGGAAAGGCTGACAGTAAGTACCCTGCGGAGGTTAGCATTCGGCTGCGGGCATCTCTAGACTCTGACGGCATAGCCAGGGTCATGCAGGCCATGCGCAAGTGTCCAGTGGGCCTGGACAACGTCTTGGCTCGCTCCATAGCTTTTGGAGCTGCATACCACCATGCAGGTAGTGTGTGGCAATATAGTTATTTGGCAATATAGTTACTTTATTATTTTTATTCTTATATTTTATGTTTATCTCATTGGATCCAGAAGATTCGCTGCCATCATGTGGCCCAAAGTATGGGCATTAGGTTTACTCTGATGGGTGTACAACCTGCAGGCCAGGCACAATGTTATTTTCTCTTTTTTATGCAAAAGCATTTTTAGTTTTTATGCCATTTTTTTAATGTCAATATTTGTCATTTGACTTGCTTCATCCAGAGAATGATTGATTGTTTTTCTTGCACAGACTCCATATTATCTTTAGGTAGTCCATAACTCAGTGCAGTAATAATAACAATAAGTAACACTTTGATGTTTGTGTGATCTTTCTTTTTTAATGATTTTATATTTTCTGTAATACAACCTCTGCCTCTGGTCACAATGGGCAGGAATAGGATCTTGAGCATGGAAATATCATCCTTCCTGGAGCCAGCGCTCTTCAAGTCATAGCACGGATGATACGTCCAACGCTCGTTTATTGACAGAAATAATGTAAAAGCCCCTTCCCAAATGTCCACTGAGTCTAGTCACCCTCTAAGAGCTTTGCGCACTTATGACGAGTCATTCCGATCACCACAGCCTTCAGTTGAAATTCTCATGATGGCAAGTTCCCGTCACCCTGGCCTCAGCTGAATTTTCCCATAATGGCATGTTCAGGTCCCCTGCCCCACAAGCTAAATTGTTTCATGATGTGATGGTCACGTCATCCAGATTATAGGGGTTAATGCAAGGAGTTAATATCACAGGCACTTAGATGGCAGTTCCAAGTGCGCGGAAGTTTTCCACATTTTGTTTTATATGAATGATATATCTAATTTGACAAAATCAATCTTATGGATGTTTCAGGACTCACATTTGATGAGCGAGATATAATAGAGGGAGGGTTTCGTACTGGCTCCATCCGTGTCCTCATCGCAACTTCAACACTGTCCTCTGGGGTTAATCTTCCAGCACGTCGTGTCATTATCCGATCACCAGTGTTTGGGGGGAAAATTCTTGACACGCAGACCTACAGGCAGATGATTGGCCGAGCAGGAAGGAAGGGGGTGGACACAGAAGGTTAGTGTTAGTTCTAATATGAATGTCTCGTGCCTTTAGATTTCACAGACAACAAATAGAATGGAAATGGAAAAATGTAGATTGTTTTTTTATGTATATTTAAGATTCCATATTAAAGAATATGAAAATTATGATGTCTATGTTTGTAGATATGATATACTCTGCTTACTTGAGAAAAGAAAATGTCTATCCAGTAAAAAGGATAACCAAACCCTGTTTCCCTCAGGAGAAAGTGTTCTTATTTGCCGTGAAGGAGAGCGGCAGAAGGCCCAGGTGCTTATGACCTCCTCGCTACCTGCCATCACCTCCTGTCTTCAACAAGATGCATCTCTAACCTCTAGCATGAAAAGAGCCATACTGGAGGTAGTTAGGGCTAGGATGTAGCAAAATGTCTCTAAAACCCATTGAATAATGATTTGTATATATAATCTTATTTCTGAAGACAGTCTTCCTTTATAGGCTTCATGTGTTTAAGCTTTCATGTAAAATTGTGTAAGCTTTTTGGTCTTTGGTTTCTTTATCTCCTTTAGGTCATAGTGAGTGGAATAGCAACTAGCCCAGAGGAAGTTGAGCGTTACAGCAAATGCACTCTCCTGGCAGCCTCCTTAAGGAATGAAGCTAGTTCCTCTCAAGCAGATGCCCAGAACTCAATTCTTAGCTGTGTTGAATTCCTTGAAGAGAATGAATTCATTAGGTATTTATTTATTTTTTCCTGTCTCTGTGTCTCTGTGTCTGTTGAGTCTCTTGACTTGTTGTCTAGTATTGCCTTGCCTTCTCTTATTTGTCATTTTCTCCTGTCTGTGTCTGTCTATCTGTCTTTTATCTTTAAGATGTTTGTCAGTCTCTGTTGCTTTATAAATGGGAATTTTTGCCATTGCATTAGTTTGGTCTTAAGGGAATAGATGGAGTTTCCCATGCCTTCTTTATTTTGCATGTATATTATTGCTAAGACATTTTGTTTATTTTCTTATGAGGGACCAGGGATGATTTATCACATCTGTTTACTATATTCTTGGTGTTATTGGTGCTACTCATTATTGCTTCAGGAAAACATTTTAATTTTTGTTTCCCCTCTGTTTATATACAAAGGCATATGTTGATTTACAAAGTTAATATGCACTGAAATAAAAATACTTCATTACAGACTACAAGAAGTTGATGGCAGCACCCGTTACACCAGCACTCAGTTAGGCTGTGCTGTTCTGGCCTCTGGCTTGTCACCTGATGAAGGTCTCCATGTCTTCAGTGAACTTCACCGGGCCAGGAAGTGTTTTGTTTTAGAGAACGAACTGCATATCATCTATCAGGTCTGCAATATGTTTATTTTTCCTGATAATAATTTTCTTCAGAAGAATCTTAAAAATCAACTTGATGTAGTCAGTGAGATTAGCTGCTGTTAGCATTTGTTTCCTTTCTTCTTAAGGCTATATTTAATTTTTTATATAAAAATCATTCTTTAGAAGAGATAAGGAAAGTTCATGCATAGTTAGAGGATGTTGAGAAGGTAGATTATTGTTATTGTTTTTGCTGTTATCATGTACAGCTGCACAGAAAAATATTGTTAGAAAATCATGCTAAACATTGACAAAAGCACTGATACTTTCTGTAATATAGTTGTTAATGCTACAAAATTGTTGATTTTCCAAATACTTTTGGGCATGTGGGGTTTAACTGAATATTGCAAGGCATATTCCAGTCTTTACGGGAATAAAATCCTCATCTCACAGTGAAACCATATGAATTCTGGAGCGACTCATTGAGACATGAATCAGAACGAGATAAATTCAAAACCCAAAATACCAACCCTTTCGTAATATGTGGTTGTGTTCATTATTGAATGTTTTGACACCCCATCCTAACAATAGTTCTTTGTGTAGCTACACATGTACCTGGTACCAATGGGTTACAGTAAGTTGTATACTACATCATATTATGTATCACTGTGAAAGAGTTTTAGATACACTTTATGATGTACTCAGTGATATAAAAAAATATATATTTTTTTAAATTTAAGACTGCCTGTACTGTACATTTGACCAGTTTTCACTTTCAGATGTTTACCAATCCTGTGCAGGATTGCAGGACATCCATATAAAAAATGAAAATAGATTAACCCATTATTACCAGGGGAATTTTGTTTTCATTGTAGTATTGTTTTTGAATGTGAAATTTCTGCACATGGATGGTTCTTCCACTGCTTTGCCACATGGTTGTCAATTAGTTGACCTTGAGACCTCACCTATCCCTGGGTTCATGCGAAAAGTGTTTTTTTAAATAATAATATTAATGTCGATGCTATTATTTTTATTATAAACATTGTAATTATTATAGTGTTATTAACATTACTAACAGCATTATAAGATACCAGAAAATGATTTTGAAAATTAAGAAAAAAGGTAAACAGGTGAGACAGGTAGTACTTGCATTTTACTCATTGGTGACTTACTACTTGTAGGGCCATCTATGTGTAAAGACAATTAATAGATTAAACTTACAGTGGGCATGGAATGTACATATATGCCATCCCCAGCAGCATTGGGTTAAAATATCCTAAAAACTCCTTCATAGGTGACACCTGTATATGTGAGTTCTGCATGGCCAAACATGGACTGGCTTACCTTCCTGAGCATTTGGGAGAGCCTTAGTGAGGACATGAAGCGTGTTGCGGAATTAGTTGGAGTAGAGGAAAGCTTCATTGTGAGGGCAATGAAGGGAACAGTCAACAGGAAGGTAAATTATGATGATCTGAGTTCTGAGATCTATAGAATAATTGTTGAAGGTATGTGATGAAAAAGGAATGATTTTAAAGGGCAATGATTATATAATTTTGATTAAACTTACTAATTTCTGATAGTATTATTGAACCATTATTCATTCTCAAATACTCCTTTTATAAATATTTGTATTCTTTTTACATATATAACCTTTCTTATTGTATTTTTTGTATGTAGTGATATTTTCTCAGGTACTGTATTTTTGTGAATGCCTACAAACAATAATGAGATGATAGAGATTAGTTACCATATTCATGGACTTAAGGTATTCCCTGAGGTTTTTCATTGGTTAAAACTGATGAATACTTGTTTGATGTATGAATGAGTGGACACCTTAGCAGATGTCAATTATCTAAAGTTTTGAGAGATAGAGCAATGTAAACACATCAATTCTCAAATGAGGTCTCTTGATTTAACCAGTTCACATGATATGATAGGACTTATGCCACTCAATACATTGTCACTTCCTTAGGTGAGGCGCCAGGCAAAGCAGTTAGCTGTTCACCAGCGTTTTTACACAGCTCTTGCCCTTCATGAGCTGGTGCAGGAGGTTCCCCTGAATACAGTGGCTCGTAAGTATGCGGCCACTCGAGGAATGCTCCAGTCACTTCAACAGTCGGCTGCCACATTTGCAGGTATGATTAGATTTGTTTGCTTCCATTTACATATATATATATATATATATATATATATATATATATATATATATATATATATATATATATATATATATATATATATATATATATATTAGATATATATATATATATATATATATATATATTATATATATATATATATATATATATATATATATATTATATATTATTTTATTATATTATTAATATCTGCTTCTTTTTCTTCGTAATGAGGATGTTTATTTATTTTTTCCTTTTTGTTAAGAATTCTGAAAGGAAAATGAAAATAAGTCATCTGTGTATTTATTGCTTGATATTGTTTAAAGTCACTCTGGGAAACATGTGATATGCCATTTCAAAAAATACCATGTGATTTGATGGCACTTTTCCTGTTTATTATTGCTTGGCAGATTTTGTCTGGATTTATTCCTCTTTTCCTGTGTCTTTTCTGTTCTTACTCTGATGCCCAAAAGGGGGAACAAAGGTGAGTGCTGACTTTTTCTGTCATGTACCTTTATCTTATCATGTCATGTTTGTCATTCAGTCTACTGATTTTCTTGTATTTTGAAAGCTGCTTTTTGTGTGAAGAGATGTCTTCTGTAAAGATTAGTTGCTTTTTCTTAAAAGGGGGAATTAATTCATTTTTGTTGGAGGCCATGGTAGAATAATCTCACTGATGTTTCAAATCATATCCTGCGGTATGTGTTTCAGTGATAATGATAATGGTAATGATAATGATAATGATAATGATAATTATGATGATTAGGATAAGGATATGGATAGGGATAAGGATAATAATGATAATAATAATGATATGAGTATTGATATTATTATTACTATTATTGTCACTTTTGTTAGTATTGTTATCATTATTGTTATTGTTAAATTTCTTCCTTTTGTTTTTGCATATGTTGCCAAATACTATTATTTGCAGAGGAAAAGCTTATTTTCTAGAAGGAAATTCTTGCAAACAATTGTTTAGGGGTTTAACTTGCAAGAATTCAAGTAATTGCTCTGCAGTGTTGATATCTGGATATCTATCTAGATGAGGGCTTGATTTTGGACAGCCAGGGGTATCAAGTGTTTGCTTTTCGATTATCTATTGAGGGGAATTGATGGATATTCTAGGATGAGTCTGAAGATTTTTTTTTTTTACAGTTGTAATTTTACTTTTTCTTGGCCTCAAGAGAATCACTTGCATTTTGCTAGGACACTTTTGGCTAGTTTTACTAAGTCTTTAGCAAGTGCCACCCACGTTGCAATGGTTGTTCTTTGTTTCAGTTTATGATGATTGGAGTAGGGCTGGTCTTTACTGCTGAGATAATTTTGCATTTGTGGTTGGATTTTCCACTAATATTCAAAGTTGTTGATTGAGAAGATGGGTTTGGAGTGCCATGAAGTTATAGGATTTACATGTATGGGTTATGATTTGTGTAATATCATCAGCATGTAGTTGGGAGTGTTGTACTGGTGCAGGAATAAGAGGATTGTTCATGATGAAAAGTGTTGCTAAAATGATGCTGTCTAGTGGCACCCCACTTTTTATTTGACTTACTTCACCGGTAACTTAATACATTTTAGTAGATCTGTTGTTCGAGAAGTTATTAAGGATCTTGCAAAATGTTTCAGCTAAATTGGATTCCATAAGACATGATTTGAGCCCATTGTGCCAAACTTTGTCAGATGATTTGATCTCCCTCAGGATTACATTATATATTACATTATAGGGCCTGAGCCAATTCTTCATATGATAATGTGACGGCTATGACTGTGCCTCTGCTTCTTTTGAAACCATAATGTATTGTGTTAGCCAGATTTTGAAACATACCAGACATGAGCTGAAGATTCACCTGACATCTATGACATTTCTCTTGTTACTCATACAATAGTTTTTGCTGTGACCTTGAATAAATTGAAGCTGCACGATCCTGTGTTCATGTCCCTGTCTGTCATGTTCCCTTTGACATCCCTTTTCTCCTTAATAAGCCTTATTGCACCTGCCGCAGCATATGCAGTATATGACACATATAGCCATTTGGCAGTGGACATATTGGTATGATGTTAACAAAATATCCGCTAATTGCCTTGAATATCATACACTGTGGCAGTATGAGGAATTTAGGCTTAAGGTCAAAGCTTGCTTTTGAGAGTGGGTAATAAGTGAAATGTTATGTTAATCTTTATTGCATGTATGATATACGATTGTTTTATTTTGATTATGATATAATCAAAATGTGCAAATACATCTCTAGCCCAGTAAGTTATTCATCTCATTCATAACATGGAGTTTATGGGAAAATATTAAGAAAGTATGTGAGTAGATTGTCTGCTTGAGAACCAGTTATAATTATTCCCATTCATTCTTAAATTTCTCTGCTGCAATTATCCACTATAGCTCACAGGTGCACAACTATTTAGGTGTATTTGATAGACTATGTTAAGGTGTATATGATAAACTATGTTGTCCTCCTAGGGGCTCTTGATCTTTTTATGAAATACATTGATATCTAACTATTTGTTTACGTTAAAAATATGTTGTAGATTATGGATGAGTTAGTTATTGTGAAACATAACATGAAGAGGGTACTATCTTCAGGTGAATATTAACTATTTATTGTTACTTTGATTTGTTATGAGGGTAAGGCTTACAGGCTCCTTGTGATGATACTTCAACAGTGAGGAATATTATGCCTGATTGAGCCAAAGAAATGAAATGAGAGAGGAACTCACTAAGGATGATAGAAGATAAAGGAATGAGAAAAGGTGGGGGAAAGGAATGGCATAGGGAAGAGAGAGAGGGAAAAAACTTGGAGAATAGGGAACAGAGCATGGAGATGTTAGAGTAATGGCTGACATATAACTATGATTTATAAAAAGATTAATAATGATGGGTACATTTGGGGAAATACTGTTTGTTAATGAAGTGGATATTTTTGTCAGTTTTGCCCTTCACATTGGTATATCATGCATTTATGTCTGGAGCTGTACATACCAACTGTTGGGAATAGATTAACCCACTAAAACAATCTCTTTTTTCTCCTGCCCCCCTCTCTCTCTTCTCTCTCTCTCTCCTCTCTCTCTCTCTCTCTCTCTCTCTCTCTCTCTCTCTCTCTCTCTCTCTCTCTCTCTCTCTCTCTCTCTCCTCTCTTGCTCTCTCTCTCTCTCTCTCTAAAATCCATGTTTGGATTCACCCCAAGGCCATGGTCCACAGTCTTTTGCAATCGCCTTTGTGAGCTGTCACCCTTGGACAATCCTGCCTTATTTCTTCCCTCCAGGACCGGTCTCCCCTTTCTCTCTCCATTGAACTCAGTGTCACTCCTTGCTACTCTCACGCTCCTATTCATGCCATTCCTCTTTCCCTGGACTGGAACTGGCTCCTCTGTAGCTCCATCTCCTTCACAACGTTCTTTGGTTCCATCCTCTCTTAGCTGCTCTCCCTCTCTCCCTTCTTTGATTCTTCTGTCTCTCTCAGTTCATCTCCCTTCTCCTTTTCTCGTCTCTCCTTTTCTTTTTCTCCTTTTCTTCTCCCTCTTTCTCTCCTTCCTTTCTCCCTCCCTCTTCCTCTCCTCTCCTCTCCTCTCTCTTCCTCTCTTTCTCCTCCTCTCCTCTCCCTCTCTCTCCTCTCTCTCTCTCTCTCCTTCTTCTCTTCCTCTCCTTCTCTCTTTTTCTCTCCTCTTCCTCTTCTCTCTCTCTCTCTCTCTTCTCTTCCTCTATCTCTCCCTCTCTCTCATCTCTGTTCCTCTCTCGTCTCTCTCTCTTCTTCTCTCCTTCTCTCTCTTCTTTCTCTTCTCTCTCTCTTTCTCTCTCTCTACTCTTCTCTCCTCTCTCTCTCTTCTCTCTTCTTCTCCTCCTCTTCTCTCCTCTCTCTCTCTCTCTCCTCTCTCTCTTCTCTCCTGTTCTCCTAGCCTCTCCCGTCTCTCTCTCTCTCCTCTCTCCCTATCTCTCTGTCATCTTTCTCTCTCTCTCTCGCTCCTCTTCTCTCTCACTCTGTCTTCTCTCTCCTCTCTCTCTCTCTCTCTCCTCTGGCTCTCTCTCTCCTCTCCTGTCGATTCTCTCGATCTCCTGCTCTCTCTACTCTCTCTCTCTCTCTCTCTCCCCCTCTCTCCTCTCTCTCCCCCTCTCTTCTCTCTCTCTCTGTCCCTCTCTCTCTCAGTCTGCTCTCATTCCTCTTCTTCCCCCTTCCATCCCTCTCTGCCTTTCTCTAGTCCTTGACCCTCCTCCCTGTCATTCTCTTCTTTATCACTTTCTCTGCCTTCTCTCTCTCTACTCTCTCTCCCTCTCTCTTCTCCTTCTCTCTCTTCTCCACCTCTCTCTCTCTTCTCTTCTCTCCTTCCTCTCTTTCTTTTCTCCTCCTCCTTCCTCTTTTCTTCTGCCTTCTTCTCCCTCTCTCTTTCTCTCTCCTCTCTCATCTCTCTCCTCTCTTCTCTCTCTCCTCTCTCTCTCCTCTCTTCTCTCTACTCTCCTCTCTCTCTTCCCCGTCTCTCTCTCTCTCTCTCTTCTCTCTTCTCTCCTCGGACCTTCTCTCTCTCTCTCCTCCTCTTCTTCTCTCTCTCTCTCTCTCTCTCTCTCCCTTCCTCCGTTCTCTCTCTCCTCTCTTCCTCTCCTCCTTCCCTCCTTCCGATTCTCTCTCCTCTCCTCCTTCCTTCCAGTTTATTTCCTTGGTTATGGAACACAATTGGTTCTCTCCTGCTCTCTGTCCCATTTCTCATTCCTCTCTCTCTCTCTCTGTCTCCTGGTCTTTCCTCTCTCTCTCTCTTCTCTCTCATCTCTTTCGGCTGGAAGATCCATTCTCTCTCTCTCTCTCTTTTACTGCTCTCGTCCCATCACTCTCTACCATTTTCACAGCGTAGTTTTTCTCTTCTGTTAACTCCTACCGTCTCTCTCTCTCTGTCTCTCTTCTCTCTCTCTCTTCTTCTCTCTCCTCCTCTCTTCTCGTCCCCGCCTCCCGTTCGCTCCTCTACTCTTCCTCTACTCTATCTCTCTCTCGCCTCTCCTACTTGTATCTTCTGCTGCTTTGCCTCTGCCACCTTTGCTATTGCCATTCTCACTGTTCTCTCCATCTCCCAAGTTCCTTTTCCTTCCTTTACCCTCCTCCCCCTCTGTATCTCTTCTCTCTGCTCTCTCGCCTCCCGTCGCCACTCCTTCTTCCTCTCCTCTGTGCTCCCTTTCTTTCCCTCCTTCCTTCTTCAATCTCCCTCTCATCTCTCCCCTCTCACATTCACTTCCTCTGCTCTCCTCTCCTCTCTTACTTCTCTCCTCTCTCTCCCCTCTCTTCTCTCTCTCTTTCTTCTCCTCTCTCTCTTCTCTTCTCCTCTACTCTTCTCTTCCTCTCTCCTCTCTCTATCTCCTCCCCCTCTAACTGTCGGTGCTCCACCCCCTCTCGCTCATCCTCTCGCCGCGAGTTGCCTCTGTTCCCGCTTCCGGCTCCTCCCGCACGCCTTCTCCTCTCTCTTCTTGTCCGTCTTCTTCTCCTCTCTCTCCCTTCTCCTCTCCTGCCTCTCTTTTCTCCTCTCCTCCCTCTTCTCCCGTTCTTCTTCTCCCTTCTCGCTCCTGTCCCTCCTCAGCTCCTCTCCTTCCCCCTCCCTCTTCCCTCTCCCTCTCCTCTTTCCGTCCGTCGCTGCGCCCACTCCCCTCTTCACCGCTCCCCCCCCTTCGTCCGCCTCCCCTTCTTCTTCTCTCTCTACCCCTCTCTTTCTCTTCATCTCTCCCTCTCCTTCTTCCCTCAAACTCTTCTCTCCTCCTCTCCTCTCTATCTCCCCTCGTCCCCACCTCTTCTAATCTCTCTCTTTCATACTCCTCTCCTCCTTCCGCTCCCTCCTCTCTCTATCTCTCTCTCTCTCTCCGCTCCTCGCCGCCTCGCACCCCCCACCCCCGCCCCCCTCCCTCCCTCCGACTGTCCTCCCTCTCCCGCCATGACGGCCCATCGGATTGGTCTCGGGTATGAACACATCTTCCTGGCTCCTATGCCAGCTATGTGAGTGAGAGGAGCGTCGGCGCGTGGTGGAAAGACCAGAGGGAAAAAAAAAGAGAAAAGCGAAAGGAGAGAGGGCACGAGGGGCGGAGAAAGGAGAAGCAAAGACTGGGCAACGTCATAGGCAAATCATCACCTGAGTCCCAGCAAATACGGTGGCGGAAAGACGGGTTATACACTAGAAGAGGAAAACTAACCAACACACAACAACCGACACGAATGATACCCAAACTCTTTACCCCACTAGAACCAAGAACACATTCGGCACAGAGCAAGTACAACAAATACTGGCTACTAGACTACATTACAGCATGGCATCTCACTGGCCTAATCTTACTTTATCCTCGTTGCTCATCGTCTACTGCCCAAATCGACAGAGGCATAGCCAGCGTCTATCTCACAGATACTCTCTCAGTCTCTACTTTACATCTCGAGTTCAATCGTCAAATACTGCCAGAATATCGTCATCTCTAGCTACTCTCTCTACTACCCTACCTCGATACTGAACTGCTTAACGCGCGAGGAAGCACGCACTAAACGATAACGTAACTACGGCTAGGGAAAGAATACAATCAGACCCAGTACTGGAGACAAACCATCTACACTCTCCGCGCTCTGAAAGAACCATCTTCCACTCTACAACCTCAATCCGGAGTCCTCATGCCCTCGATCCCTCAATCCCTCTCGCTCCTCCCAATCTCCCATACTCGCACTCGTTCCGACCTCTGAGCTACATCTAACCGTACACAGATCACAAAAGTTCTCAGCCATTGCTGCGTCAAGATCATTCTACATCAATCATGCCCTCTCTCAATCTACATGCGCCAGTTCAAATCCGCTGCATCAGTCTTCGTCTCATCATAATCTGATATAAACGACAATACAACTCCAATCGTTCATACTACTCTCTCTAACTCTATCATCTGGCTCCGAGTAACACATACTCCTGAGCCTCCTCACACTGATCCACATCTCTCCGATCCCGTACCGTCGCTTCTAACAACGGCCATGCCCTCCGTCGCCTCTTTCAGGATAGTCGACCCGAATTGTGCCCAGTGAGTGACACGCTGTCCTTCTCCGTGTCCCTGTACTTCTCCCTGTCCCGGTATCCCTAGTCTCCAACTGTCCTGTCCTTACATCCGTGCTGTCCTTTACTTCTTCCTGCTCCCGCGGATGCCTTCGGGAGAGGATCAGCGATGTATTGTTCCTGATGTCCTCGATACCTGTGAGGCGGGCATTCTTGCCTCTGGGCCTTCTAGTCTTCAACTTGTCCATTGATCATTGTCTCCCTCTCGCCTATCAATACGAAAACCAATAGACCAAAAATCTCGATCATCTCTCGCAATACACTCTGTGTCCTCCCTATAGGTCAATCTCGAACTTCAGATGCGCCCGGAAAGCCCAAGAATAGGGAAAAAGAAAAAGCCATGGCCATAAAGCTCCCAAAGGCCATCTTCTCTACTCGTTGGGGAAAGAAATACTGGTTGAGAAAACAGGATAACAGATTTCACTCTCCACCGCATTCATAACTCTTGCACCGTCTACAAATGTGACAACGCTAGCAGTCATTCGTCTCTATACTGGAACGTGACAACTCACAATCCTGCCTACATACATATCTCTACATCTCTCTACTCGGTCCTCTACGTGCTCTTCCTCTATCATCTCTCTCGTCATATCTCGTCATCGACGTCTGCAAAAATCTCCATCTCTACCCTGCTCTTCTTTCAACTCAACATCAAGGATACATTCTCTCTCTGTTGACTTTATCTCTCTGTAACTGATCTCTAACTATTCATATCTTCCTCATCTACTGTACTCTCTCAATTCTCTGCTCCTCTCTCCGCGACCTCCCCATATCTCATCTCTATTGTCTAGCTCTTACTGATATCTCAATTAATTGTCAATCTACTCTTTCTCTTTTCCTTGCAGCTTTCTCTGTTCTGAACAAATTTCTCCTCACTATCTTCATCCTTTCTACTTTCTCTATGTTCCTGCATATATCATCATGAATAATATCATAACATTTCACTCTGTGCTTTCTCTTTCTCTTCTTTGTTATTCTACTCTCTTTTCTGTTCTCTCTCTTATCTCTTGTGACCTGTATGCTGCGTTGCCCCGTTCTCTCTTATATCTGACTTTCTGCTCTCGTTTCGTGCTGTGTACTGCTTCTCCTCTTGCGTCTGGCCTTCTCCCCATTTCTCTTTGCCACTGGTTCGGTGCGTGTTCCAGGTTTTCTGGCTCTTGGCTCTGGGATACGTCTCTACGTCTTCTCTTGGTTTTCCTCAAGTCCGTTCTCTGCAATTTCTCTCTCTCTCATAGGCTTTCTTTGTAGCCATGGGCGTTGGTGCCCGCCTTCTCTTCTTTCCTGTCTGCTCCCTACCTTAACAGTACTCCAAAATCCGCCGTCTCTGTCATACCTCCTCTCTCTCTCTCTCTCTCGATCTCATCTCCTCCGTCGATCTGGCTGTCTCTCTCCTCTCTCTCTCTCTCTCTCTCTCTCTCTCTCTCTCCCTTCTCTCTCTCTCTCTCTCTCTCTCTCTCTCTCTCTCTCTCCAAGAGTTTTTATTTCAATGAAATTAAATTGATTCATCTATTTCATTATTATTATTGTTATCGTTCCTCAGCAACAAAATGGGTGAGGAGAGCCGCAAAGAGGGCACCATTTGGCTGTCATCGGGACAACCCCTGACAGAAGCTCAAGCAGCAATGCTTATTGTGAAAGAAGCAAGGTTGCTTGTTCAGGTACAGTACTGCTCAAGGATGCTTTATTATCATACGATATAGTCATATTGAGTGCAGTACTTGTATAGTATGCATTTAGTAAGTGAATCCAAATGGCAGGTGAAATATTCTACATCAGATCATAAAAGGATGTATCAGTTACATATTTGATTTTATGCTTTTTAAAACTTTAATGATTTTGTACTTTGCAGAAAGAGCTTGGCATCTCCAACATTGACTGGACACAAAAGACTGAAGCTTTTACAACCCCTAGCAGGAACATGAATATGTCACAGGGTGGCTCTAACACCAGTAGGCGTAGTGTATCAAGTGTAAAAAATCGAAATTCTATCTCGCCAAATCTTATTTTGAGGTCTGAGTCAGTTCTTGGGAAAAATACTCCAGCCTCAAGGATTGTAGAAGGTGGTGTAGAGGAAGCTGTAACACCCTTGCAGAGGAACAAGAAAAAACGGATATCCCCAGCAACAAGGGTCCTGCGAAGAATGTCAAAATCTCCACAAATGGACCTTGGCTTAGATAGAAGCATGAAGAAGAGACATGCAAATAACATGAATGAAAAGCAAAATAGGATGAATTGTAGTGATAACTTACCTGAGCAGAAAACCTCTCATTTGGAGACTTTAGGCCATACTTCTACTTATAATTCCAAAGGTAATGGAGAAAAATCAAATAGTCCTTTTAGTATTGTCAACAAGTGTGAAGGACTAGATAATCAGTCTAAACCCAATACAGTAAATAGTGATATCATACCTGAGTTAACACATAAAGAGAAGGACATTTCTCATCCAGGTGAGGAAATTCATTTTAGCAAATTTCTAAAAGTCCCCCAGATGAATGACAGTGTTGAGAAGAGAGAAAGAGAGGTCATACAAGACCAACAAGAATTTGACACCAGCACTAATAGGCGTGAAAGGAAGGACCTGAAGGGAAGGATAAAGAATAGGAGAACTGTTGGAGAAGGAACAGATGATAATACAGAACAGGAAAGGGGAAAGGGAGAAAAGAAGACAGAAATAATAGAACGAGAGGAGACTGGAAAGAACTTTGTGACAGGATATAGTGAATCTGAAAAAAGAGGCTCTGTTCAAATAAATGAGGCAGAAGCAGCACAAGAAGATATGAAGAGGACAGAGATAAACAAAGTAAAAGACATTAAGGACTCAATGAAGGAGAGTGAAAATATTGAAATCACAAAGAGTGGGAAGGTAGGAGTAACTGCTGATGGAGTTGAAGGGCCAAATAATCCTAAAAAGAAGCCATCATCAATTGCAGGGCTTCTGTTTGGTAAGAGCAAGCCTAGAAAGAAGGAGATAGAAGCAAGTATGAAACAGACAGAAGATGAGAGTAATTATTTCTGCATTCCTGAATCCCAAGAAGACAAAGCTGATAACCTTTTCTCTCCAAAACGCAGACAAAGAGTTCCTTCAAAAGAAAAGGAGGCCCATATTACCAGTGTATGTGTAGATCTTGAGAAATTGCCAGTGAGTAAAACCATAAATAGGGCCGCTGATGGTAAAGGAAAAATACCCCAGATTAGAATAACTGATGAAAAGCATATGGAAAGCAATACAGAAAGTGGAAAAGGAATAAGCACTGATGTGAACACCAGCACACCAGTAGTAAAACACCCCAAGAGTACATTAGCTGTATGTGCTGCAACTCCCATAACTGATTCTTTAGATGGAATAATAGCCAATTTAAGCTTCAATGATTCACAGGCCATGGAAGAAAATGGCAATACATTTAAGGATGAAAGTGATCTTTTTAAGGACAGTGATGGTGAGGTGTCTGGGGATGCAGGGAAGCTTAAAGGTAAAATCTGTGCTGGAGAGAAACATCAAAGAGAGACCTTGGAGGAGAAGCAGCCAAATATGGAAAGCCATCTAATTAATGACAGTATTGGCCTCCTGTCAGAGTCACAGAAAGATAACTTTTTCAGGACATTGGGCACTCAGGATTTTGATGTCAGTAAGCCTGAAGAGTACTTGGAAGATGAGCTATTAGCTTGCAACAGGCAACAGGAGTTAGAGGTAGATGTAGAAGAGATGGAGATAGATGAGAAGGGAGAGGAAGTAGTGCAAGAGATTTTTTCAGTATTATTTTCAGATGATTTCATTAAGAGGAAGAATAAAGCTAAGAGAACAATTGTATCAGAAGGTGTTAGAAATCAAAATCTGGAAAGATTAAAAGCATGTGGTGGAAACTTGCCAACAAAAACACCCCTGGTTGACCAAAATAATAAGCAAAAAATTGAAACCCCAATGTACCAGGCTTGCTCAGAAGAACTTGACTTTGGGTTTGATCTGAGTCGAACAGAAAACAAAGCTCCCCCAGAGATAAAACGGAATATTGTTGAGAATCATCTTAACACCAATAAAGATGGTTCTTACCTGAATATCTCATTTGAGAGAGTCCCTCAGGTAGAGCCAAAGTCAAAGAAGTCTTTTGCTAAACAGAAGGAGATTCATGATGCATCTCATACGTCACTTTCGGAGGATGAGGTGCCAAATCTTGAATATCCATCAGATGGGGAATTAAACCAAAATGTTGGTGAAGTGCCTGATGAAGATATGGGTGAAAATTTTCACAGAGGAGATGACACACTCTCTGATTCTTTCTTGGACCAAGCATTTGAGAGTTATCTACACCTTTCGTCAAACACAGATGAGTCAGAGGAAAATGTAGGTTTACAAGGAGTTACTGAAGATACTGAATCAGGAACCAGTGGAGAAAATGAAGAGTCTTATAATGTTCTGGAAAAGAATTGTCTTGGAGACACATTTGGGGAACTAAACATGACACCAGGCACAGAAGCATTGCTTGATGGCTTGGTGGATTGCCACAACAAAATGTCTCAAGGAAAGAATAGTGTTCTTGCAGATGCAAAGCAGACAGGCAAAGTGAGGCTCTCGGATGACCTTTTTGCCACCCCAGTATCCCCAGCACCAAGAAGGAGGAGTCAGAAGGAAAATACTGTAGATGGAAAGAAAAATGTCAAAAGGGGTAAGATGGAAGATAAGACCCACAGACCTCAAGAACCTAAGGATTCTAAAATGTCATCATCAGCTGGGCCATCCAATATTGTGAAGGAAGACAGGAAGAAACAGGAATCAGTAGGCAATAGATACTTGGATGAAGGAGGGCCTTTTGACAGTGGGGGAACAGAGACAAGATCACTAAGCATCATTGATGTTGTAAATAATAGTAAACTTTTTGAATGTTTCAAAAATGAATGGAGTGAGCAGAAGACTTACTCAATTGCCCTGGCATGTGAAAAAGCACCATCGCAGCAGACAAAAGGAGGAATAGGTCAGTGTATGTGTATTTTGCCTGGTGTGTATATGAAACATTCATAAATTTGTCAAATATTACAAAATGATAACCATTCCTTGATAGTATTGTGAGGTGCTGTATAAGTAATACAGTGTAATATTTGCAGGGTAAGCATATTTTAAAATTCTAAATTTTTAAATGTCTTTTGCCTTCTGAAATAGTTTTTATGGTACAGAAAGAATAAAAACAATGGCTGGAGGTGAGGTTATGTTGGACCATAAGCAAGCACAAGAGGTCCAACAATGTGATTTAGTATTAAAGTTTCACTGTGGTCTGGGCTGAGCATTAATACCTTTCTAGTAACTCTTTCCCAATGAGTGTCTTAACCCTTTGTGCTGGGATGGTATGATGTACTTGCCATGGCCACTGTATTTTTAGATTATCAATTATGTTTACATAGATGGCTCCACAAATACTTTGTCACCAAGGAGTCGATTACTTGTCCAACCTCTCTCCCTTTTTTATTTCTTTTCCTTGATTTTCAGAAAGATTCTTTTTCATGCTTTATTGCTATTTGTAATTTAATAACATTATTGTACTCTTAGTGTCATTGATAATAATAATAACAATATTAATCTTAATAGCTTAAATAAAGAAAAAAAGAAAAGGTATTTCCTGAAAATTCAAGGAATTGGGAAATTAGTCATGTAGTGTTTACTAAGTGACTACTTAGTGGTTGAGCACTTGTGAAGCTGTCTGTTTGTAACAAAAGTAACATAATATTGCAGTGGACAGTACATGGACTTGCATACAAAGAATTAAAGATACCTGGGAAATCACAAAATATATCAAAGTGGGACCTGTTCTTGTGAAAATGCACAATTTAAAACAAGACCTGTCTGTGAGTTGTTAAATATATAAAATAACTTAAGATATGTCAAATTTATCTCATTTGTTTACTCTTACCTGCTCAGGCTGGAAGGTCACAGGGCAGAGCCGTACCCCACGACGGAGCCAACGGCCGCAGGAGAAGGAGGTAGCAGGGATAGTGGTGGAAAGTACAGGGCTTCTGCTTGTGGGAATGGCCATCTGTTGGGGTGGCCGTGATGCATACTACATCAACCTGAGGACAGTACAAGAGGGTGAGTTGGAGTTAACATTGTAAATACTGTTGTTGTACTCATAGCAGTAGCTATAATAGTTGCTCTCATTGCAGTTGTGCTGTAGCAGCTTGAGTAATTCCTGCTGCTACTACAAAGAAAAAACATTAACTGTTTCATCAGTATACTTTTGAACATTGTGAGAGCAAATTACTGCAGATTTTATTTTTTTCATAAAAAAAAAAATATTGATGTAATGATAAATACTGAACATTAAATGATATCAAGGGTCTGATCTATTGTTCTTAGTACATAAGATATCTTTTTAATTTTCCCATCTATGTTTAAGAAGCTCTGACATCTTTTTAATAAGCTGTTAAAGATCATTATTCATTTTATTGTTAAGGAGGCTGTAACATTGTTTTTTCCTCTAATTTTAAAGAGGCTATTAGCTGTAGCCTGCCCACTCCTCCTCTCTTGGAAGCAGTGCCATTGAAGAATCGCATTGAAGTTATCAGAAAGGTCATTACAAAAGGTAGGTCAGAGGTCAAGAAAAATGGATGAATAACTAGATTTTGAAAATGAGGTGGATTCTACTTTGGTTGGAAAATAAAATGATATTGAATACTGTTACAGACATACAAATGCACTTGAGACAGGTTATTGCATCTGGAAATTATTAGGTTTCTATCTTTTTCTAATTATTATCATTATTAATACCAGCAGAAGCAGATTCAACAGTGCGACTGTGGGATGCCAAGACCTGCATGAGGCTCCTGGCCGCAGCTGGACTGGGAATTTTAGTCACTCGGACAGAAGACCCGAGGGTGGCGTCGTGGATGCTTGACCCAGGAGCCAAGGAGCAGAATCTTTATAACATGGTGAGGGAGCCTTCTGTGAGTGTGGAAAATTAGTTTCAGGGGAGGGAGGGAGAACATTGTATGAAAATTAGATGAGAATGGGAGAGTGAAAGAATGTGGATGAGAGAGTGATATATTAAAAGTGTGAGAATGAGTGTAAGAGTGTGATTGGGGAGTGACAAATAGAAGATGAAATAGAATATGGATAAGGAAAGAATATCGTGAATGTATTATAAACATTTCTTTCCCTCCTTTCTCTCTCTTTCAACCTATGCATCCACCTGTCCTTTCCCTAATACAATCCACCCAACTGAACCACCCCATCTACCCTACAATGACCTAACCAACCAACATTTCCTTAACTTGCACCTATATCCATGTCCTTCCCCTCCCTCCCTAAAGGTCATGACTCACAACCTAGAGAGCTTACCATTGCTTGAAGGTGTTGGGAGTTCATGGGGCCTTGCCAGCCTAGGAGTAAATGACAAGAATCCTGGGTCCTGCAGAGTCCGGGCTGCCACAGAAGCTGTTGTGGTGTATCAATTGATGCACGAGATGAGACGCCAGCTGAAAGAGATCGGGATGCTGCAAGCCTTTGTGAGTGAAGGGAGCTTTAGGGGTGTTTGATGATATTGTTACTGATGTTGTAGTTGTCATCATGATGGTGATGATGATTAATCTTAGTATTAGTAATAGTGATATTGATCATTTTTTATTTTATGCATGAGACGAGGAGTATTTCCATCCCCCTCATGCACAGGCACAGGCACAGGCACAGGCACTGGCACATGCACTGGCACGCACGGCACACAGGCATTGGCACGACACGACACCACACACACGCACAGCACGCACAAGCACATGCACCCCCCACACACACGCACGACACACACACGCACGCATGCACACGCATATGCACATGCACATACACACACGCACAAACACAAAAAAACAAACAAACAAACAAAGAATGACTAACACAAACATGGACTTTATGTATATTTTCTTTTTTTATCAACAGGATGAGGTAGAGATGCCAAGTGTGGTGACACTGGCATGCATGGAGATGACTGGCATGGGCTTCAGTAACCTTGAATGTGAGGCTCAGAAGGCAATCATGCAGGTAAATTACATGACATGAATTTGTTTCATGTATGTCAGTGGTTTGTTCTTACCAACTAATTATTATTTTTTATTATTACAATCATTATTTTGTTCATTTGTTTTTGTCAGTCTGTAGCTTTCTATCACTGTTTGTCTGTATTTTTCTTGCCTTTGGGGATAGCTGCTAAGGGTGATAAAGTTTTGGAAACTGTTGACTGACATTTTACTCGTCATGACACTTAAAAGCTGCGGATGAAACTTGATTTGTATGTGATGATGATATTGATAATGATGATTGTCATTATCATTTCATTTATTATGTAATGATAATTATTATTATTATTTATTATTATTATTATATTATTATTTATTGTTATTATATTATATTATTATTATTATATTATTATTATTATTATTATTATTATTATATTATTATTATTATTGTTATATTATTTTAATTATATTAATTATTATTATATTATTATTATTATTATTATTATTTATATATATTATATTATTTATTATTATTATTATTATTACTATTATTATTATTATTATTTTATTATTATTATTATTATTATATTATTATTATTATTATTATTATTATTATTATTATTATTATTATTATTATTATTATTATTATTATTATTATTATTAATTATTATTATTATATTATATTTATTATATTATTAATTAATATAATGATAATGATATAATATAATAATAATAATATAATAATATAAATAATAATAATAATAATGATAATGATAATGATAATGATAATGATAATGATAATTTGTTATTATTGTTATTGTATTATTGTTATATTATTATATTATTGTTATTATTGTTATATTATGTTATATATTTTAATCATATCATCATCATCATCATATATATTATATTAATAATATAATAATAAAATAATAATAATAATATAATAATAATAATAATAATAATAATAATAATAATAATAATTAAAATAATAAAATTATTATTATTTATTATATTATTTAATTATTATTATTATATTATATTATTAATTATTATTATTATTATTATTATTAATTATTATATTATTATTATTATTATTATTATTTTATTTAATGTTATTGTTATAATTATATATAATTATATTGTTATAATTATATAATCATAATTATATAATATCATTATAATCATCATCATCATCATCATCATTGTTTTATTATTAATATAATTAAAATAATAATAATAATAATAATAATAATGATGATGATGATGATGATGATGAATGATGATGATATGATGATGATATGATGATGATGATGATGATAATAATATAACAATAACAATAACAATAACAATAACAATACAAAAAAAAACAAGAACAAGAACAAGAACAAGAACAAGAACAAAAAATAACAATAACATAACATAAAAAAAAACAATAACAATAACAATAACAATAACAATAAAAATAATAATAATAATAATATAAAATTAATAATAATAATAAAATAATAATAATAATAATAAAATAATAAATATAATAATAATTATTATATTATTATTATATATTTATTATTATTATATTATTATAATTATATTATTATCATTATTATTATTATTATTATTATTATTATATTATTATTATTATTATTATTATTATTATTAATTATTATTATTAATTATTATTATTATTATATATATTATTATTATTATTATTATATTATTATTATATTATTATTATTATTATTATTATTATTATTATTAATTTGTTATTGTTATTGTTATTGTTATTTGTTGTTTATTGTTGTTGTTGTTATTATTGTTTATTATTATATTATTATTATTATTATTATTATTATTATTAATTATTTATATTATTATATTATATTATTATTATTTATTATATTATTATTATTAATTATTATTATTATTATTATTATTATTATTATTATTATTATTATTATTATTATTATTATTATTATATAATATTATAATTATTATTATTATATTTTTTATTATTATTATATATATTATATTATTATTATTATATTATTATTATTATTATTATTATTATTATTATTATTATTATTATTATATTATTATTATTTATGTTATTGTTATTGTTATTGTTTATTATCATCTCATCATCATCATCATCATCATCATCATCATCATCATCATCATCATCATCATCATCATCATTTTTATTTTATTATTATTATTATTATTATTATATTATTATTATTATTAATTATATTATTATTATTATTATTATATATTATTATTATTATTTATTATTAATATATTATTATATATATTCTACTTCTCTTCTTCTCTTTCTTCTCTTCTTCTTCTTCTTATTATTATTATTATAATTATTATTATTATTATTATTATTATTATTATTATTATTATTATTATTGCTATTATTATTATTCTAAATTAATAATAATGATAATGATATTAATCATCATCATCATCATCATCATCATCATCATCATCATATTTATTATTATTAATTATTATTATATTATTATTATATATTATTATTATTATTATTATTATTATTATTATTATTATATTATTATTATTATATTATTAATATTTATTATTACTATCATTATTATTTTTCTTCTCTTCTTCTTTTTCTTCTTCTTCTTCTTTTCTTCTCTTCTTTCTTCTTCTTCTCTTCTTCTTCTCTTATTATTATTATTATTATTATTATTATTATTATTATGCTATTTATTATTCTAAATTAATAATAATAATAATGATATTAATTCATCATCATCATCATCATCATCATCATCATCATCATCATCATCATCATCATCATCATCATCATCATCATCATCATCATCATCATCATCATCATCATCATCATAACAATAGCGACAGACAGACAGACAGACAGACAGACAGACCAACAAAAACTTATGGAAACCTTAAGGAAACAATAATAGCCCAAAGAATAAAACAAAACAAGGAGACAAACTAAAAATTCCTTCCAGAAACGCATGGCGGAACTGGAGAAGGAGATGTACTCGCAGGTGGGTCATCCCTTCTCTCTTACCTCTCCGGATGAAGTGAGTCAGGTGCTGTACTGCGAGCTGCGCTTACCTCTACCTGCTGGAGCTTCGTCCCACAGGTGAGGGAGACTGAGGCTGTAAAGTGCGTGCGATTATTATGATGAGGATAATCAATGTCATTATTGTAATCATAGTTTTTAATTGTATTCAGAACTTCTATCATTATCATTGTTATTTTCATTATCATTATTATTATCAGAATCATTATCATTATCATCATCATAGCCATTATCATTTTCATCGTAATGATTATGATCAGTAGCATTGTTATCATTAGGAATATCATCATTAGTAATATTATTAGGATTATGAAAATGTTAATGAATATGATGGTGAATATGAATATAATTATGATTTTGATAATTCTGATGATTTAAATAATTATGGCATCAATAAAAGTAATAATAATGGTTATGACAATGATTATGATAATAATAATGATAATAGTCATGATAACAGTAGTGATTATATTGATAATAATTTTGACAATAGTAATGGCAATAATGATAACAATAAAATCAACAATAACAATAAAAACAACAATAACAGTAACAATAACAATAATAATGATAATAAAGAAAAAAATGCAAAGAATATAAACGTTTAGTTCTTAGTCAGATGATTTTTTGTTGCCTTGAGGAACACGTCTTAGTCTATATTTGACTTTAATCAACACAAAGATTTAGCTGGTAGAAAGAGAATGCTATACACAAGAGGAATTGACTGGATGAGACCAAGACTCTTGTCAGTTTAGATAATCTCTTTGAACTGAAGAACCCAAGCCTTACTGACCTTCTTATTGTCTCTGAAGGGGAGGGCGTGGGCGAGGAGGGAGAGGTGGGCGTGGCAGCAAGACGAGTGGGCCAACAAATAAAGAGACACTTGAGAAACTGTCCCAGCACCACCCACTGCCAGCAAAGATTCTTGAATGGCGGAGGATCAGTTCTTCCCTTACCAAGGTAGGGGGAACAGAGTACACTGAATATGGTAGGGCTTTATTTCAAGACCTAATTTAAGGCAGTGATGATCTTGAGAGATAAGGTGAGTCTTTGCTTATGTTAGAACACATGCTAAAGCTGTAGGACCATACAGATGTTAAGACTAGGTAGATCCTGTTTGTCTGACCTATATCTTGGATATTTTCTTGTGTGTTGTTGACCTGAATTAAAAATAGTGTTGAATTGCATTTTTATAGCAGAATGATATTTTGGCAGATCTTATTTCCTTTGCAACAAGAACGAGTTTACAACCGAAGCTTGACCATGGACCGCATACACACCTCCACGCACACCTTCACTGCAACTGGCAGGGTCACCATGCATGAACCCAATCTACAGAATGTTCCCAAAGACTTCAATATTCAGGTATGGTCATATAAGAAATTACTGTAACTAGTGGTACTGTTTTGTGGTTTTGCCATAATTATGAATAAGGTATTTGTTTTAAATTGTGTGAATTGTTATTGTGTTAAGATGTAAGGGAAGGGCAAAATCACTCTACTGTGCTGATGAAAAGAGAAGTTTATTAGAAAATGAAACAAGAAACTTGCTTTGTGTTTTGTGTTTCTCTTTCATATGTTTATTTGAAAAGAGAGTTAACTTGAACTTTTTTTTTTCATGTATACCTCTTTATTTTGTATTTACATAAAAAAAAAAATATTTCTTTACACTATTTATTATTGATTTATATGTATTTATCATTTAGATATACTTGATTATTATCTTTCTTACCCAGTAACTTTCTTACACAAACTAAAACAGGTGGCCGTCGACTCAGGAGAAGCAAGAGGCAGGGGTATGCGAGCCCAGCAGAGAGCACTGGCTAATTCAGCAATTATGAGTCAGTTAGGCCCCCTCTTGGTGAGATATTTTTATTTTGTTCAAATGTTACTATAGTGTGTTTGTGTGGATTTATGAGGGAGTGGAACAAAAAAAATGTTTGTGTAATATTTTTATATATATTTCATTATTTATGTGTATATTTGCAGTGGTATGACTGTAATGTATGTTATATTTCAAGTATTTTTTTTGCTGTCATTGTATATTTTACATTTAATTTTGTGTTTCTTAGTTTTTTTTTACACTTCCTCTTTCCCCATATTTCTCCCTCGTCATCTTTCCCTTTCTTCCTCTTCTTTCCTGTCCTTTCCCTTTCTCTTTCTCTTCTCCTCCTTTCCTTCCTCTTCCTTCTTCCTTCTTCCTTCCTTTCCCTTTCCCTTCCCTTCCTTCCCTTCCCTTCCTTCCTTTCCTTCCTTTCCTTTCCTTTCTTTCCTTTCCTTTCCTTCTTTCCTTTTCCTCCTTCCTTTCCTTCCTTCCCTTCCCTTCCCTCCTCCCCTCCCCCCCTCCCTCCTCTCCCTTCTCTTCCCTCCCCCCTCCCTCCCTCCCCTCCTCCCTCCCCTCTCTCTCCTCTCCTTCCCTCCTCTCCTCTCCTCTCTCCTCTCCTCTCCTCTCCCTCCTCTCCTCTCCTCCTCCTCCTCTCCCTCCTTCCTTCTCCCTCCCTCACTCCCTCCCTTCTCTCTCTCTTCTCTCTTCCTCTCCTCTCTCTCTTCTCTCCTCTCTCTCCTCTCCTCTCCTCCCTCTCCTCCCTCTCCTCCCTCTCCTCTCCTCTCCTCTCCTCTCCTCTCCCTCCTCTCCTTCTCTCCTCTCTCTCTCTCCTCTCCTCTCCTCTCCCTCTCCCTCCCTCCCCTCCTCCCCTCCCTTTCCCCTCCTCTCCTCCCTCCCATCCCTTCCTTCCTTCCTTCCTTCCTTCCTTCCCTTCCTTCCTTCCCTTCCCCTTCCCTTCCCTTCCTTCCTTCCTTCCTTCCCTTCCTTCCTTCCCTTCTTCCCTTCCCTTCTTCCTTCCTTCCCTTCCCTTCCCTTCCCTTCCTTCCCCTTCCCCTTCCCTTCCCTTCCCCTTCCCTTCCCTTCCTTCCCTTCCCTTCCTTCCATCCTTCCCTTCCTATCCCCTCTCCAACTTTCCTTTCCTGTTGCCCTTCCCCTTCTTTATCCCCTTCCCTTCCTATCCCTCTCCTCCACTCTTCCCTTTCCTGTTGCCCTTCCCTTCTTTATCCCTCCCCTTCTTATCCCTTCCCTTCCTGTTCCTTTCCATTCTCCTTCTTTCTCTTTCCTTTTCCCATTTTCTTTGCCTTCCTCCTTCCCACTTAACTCTTCATCATTTCTCCCATTCCCATCCCCTTCCTTCCTTTTCCTCCCCCTCCCCTCTCTTCTGTCTCCCTCTCCTACCCCCTCCGATCCCCGTTCCCCCACATATCTGATATCTCCACATACATTTTTACAACCCCTTACCTTCTTCCTCCCCACAACCTCATCCTGTATGTAGGAGAGTGAGCATGAGGGACACACCGTCAGTCTGCGCCATGCTTTTGTTGCCTGTCCTGGCAGCAATGTGCTCCTGGCTGCCGATTACTCACAGCTGGAACTGCGGCTGTTGGCGCACCTGGCTTCATGTGAGAAACTCTTGCGGTTGTTGAATGGTGGCGAGGATGTGTTTACCAGTATTGCCTCCCAGATCCACATGGTCGAACCTGGTGATGTCACGACAGAGTGGAGGCAACAGGCTAAACAGGTCTGGGATTTTGATTTTGATTATTGAATTAATTTATATATATATTGTGGTGTGTGTGTGTGTGTGTGTGTGTGTGTGTGTGGTGTGTGTGTGTGTGTGTTGTGTGTGTGTGTGTTGTGTGTGTGTGTGTGTGTGTGTGTGTGTTGTCTGTGTGTGTGTGTGTGTGTGGTGTGTGTGTGTGTGTGTGTGTTATCTATCTATCTATCTATCTATTATCTATCTATCTATCTATCTATCTATTAT